ATGATGCACATTTTTTTCACAGACAAATGTGGATACTCACCTGTGTCCCCACCTAACACCAGTGATGACGGTTCCTGCTGGGAGACTGCTGTCACTGTGGAAGACGTCGACACTGGGGACGATAAACCCACCTCCAGAGCGGGTGTGGAAAGTGATTGGTCTGTGGGTTGTGTGTGAGGCGGGACCAGGGAGGGGTCAGTGTTGGGTTTTGTGGGACTATTTCCTGTCATGGGGCTACAGACGCCAGAGCTGTCCTCTGGACAGAGGAAGACATCGATTGGACCGTGCGTGCTCTTTAGTGACACCTGGTAACCCTGAGGGACGTTGACAAAAACACACCGTCAAAACCTCATAGCCTCAAAATAAATATATTTGAATGAATATGAGTGTGATTTAACCCGTGTAGACCTGATGCTCTATGAGTGTAAATACCTTTATGACAAAGAGCGACATTTGAGCGCTTCTCCCTTTGAAGCCAGATGAGATGTGTTTGCATTTTATATGGTGTCATCATTTTAAAGACATGATGAAATACATCGAGATTCACTGAAATATGTGTGGGAACGGTGAAATGCATTATGGTAAATGTAGTTTGTAGCAGGCAAAAACGTTTTCAAAGTTGTATTTTAGACAAAGGCTGGCGATCTAAGCACAGGGAGCAGAAGAATGATGAAATTAACGATGAAGTAGATTGAGACCCAGATGATGTTCCTGCAGATCCACTGACGAAGACTCAGTCGGCACGGGACATGTTTGAGAAGGAAAGGTGGATCTCGCTGAATTTGCTGCCAAATGTTTACTGTATCAAATGTGTTTTATTTCAAATCTCTATCTGCTTCAGAGGCTGGGAAGTTCATGTTTTTGTAAACGTTGGCAATTCTGTCTGCTCTTCATAAAACCCTCAGGTTTTAGGTGGTTTTCAACCAACAGATTCTGGCCAGTTGCGCCCACTGTGAGAGCATAGTCACAGGTCTCAATGGGTTCAACTTTTTTGGTCCGTACCTCGCTGGGTTCTGAAACTTGCATCTGGGTCTCAGGTGGAGCTCTGATCACCATCACCAGCTGATCTGGGGAATCAAAGGACTTCCTCAAGTCCTGGCAGCGCACATAGCCCAACGTGATGAACACAACAGTTAAGGACCAAACAGCTGCAAGGGAATGACAAAACTAAGATGTTGTCCAAGCCTAAATATCTGAATACAAGAACAGACACAACAACACTGGCAGACCAGCCTCCTCTACTCGTCACTGAGCAGTTACCATTCCATCATAGCTGTTAACCGTAAACTTTGAGCCCCTTACTCAAGTACAATGTCCCTGGACTGGACCAGAGACCTTCGGGTCTAAAAATTCTAGGTGAAAAAAAAAAAACCTCTGTTCATGACCATGGCCCTTTTGATCAGGCTTCACTGGTGCTGCTGAAATCACTTTTCATTAGGGTGTAACGATTCGTTTTAACAACGATTCGATTCAAATCACGATTTGTGGTTGCCAATAGGATTCAAGGACGATATTGGTTCATTTAGAACGATATGATTCGAAACGATTCAGTGACTTGAAATTGATTCAGTAACTTTTTAGCCAAAAATTCAACCAGTGTGACTGAAATAAATACCTGGATACTGGACAGTGCAGGTGAAGTTCCCAAGATTCCTGTTGTTTCTTGTAAGGGAACCAGATATAAATCATGGATATAAACATTTTATATCCATGATTTCTATATTTAGTCTCTGACTCAACATGCTGGCGAGGCCTGAGGCTTCTGCAGAGCTGACTTCACCTTGCGCTGCTGCTGCAGTTGGAACGCTRCAAGAGGTGCCTGGWCCGTCGGTGTTGTGTGATGAAATCCCATGGCGCTTGACGTGTTGCCGTGGTACTTTACTTGACCTTTACATATCCTACAAACAGCGAGCGACTTATTAAGAGCATCTCTTTGCAAAAGTGTTTCCACACACTGGAGCCGCAATGGTGGCCTGATTATTTCTCGCTCGCCAGCTTCTCCTCTGCCATAATGCTATGTTTTGATATATGCGCTACTGCTGGCACGTGGTGATGAGGTCACAGACAGGCAGAATGAATCGAGTAACGTTTAACGCCTTTATCATTAAAAGTGCTAAAAAAAACCACATCAATATAAAGTCTGGCGTGCTTAAATGCAATGCGTTATTTCCTAGTATTGATACAATCAATTGATTACCTTTTAAAACAATATTAGATCGATACATGTCGTCCGGAAGGCCAACTTGCCAAGCAAAGATCGATGTAGTTGGATCGTAGGAATATAAATCGATACATTGATATAGTAGATGAATCGTTACACCCCTACTTTCCATTCATCCCATCATGGGTCTTCAAGAAGAAAGGATATTTCTTGTTCTGTGGGTCCTCTGTGAGCAGCCGGAGCTGCAGATTGCATTTGGAAATAAGCTCGTCCAGCTGCCCCTCAGCCTCAGTGAGGTCACACACCTCCTGCTGCAAGTCTTTATGGCGGGAAACCAATGTTGCATCGATTCGGTTACCACTGCAGGGGAAGAGGGCCGAGAAAAATCAAAACACAAATACAAGCCGCAATGTGTTACGGCTGTAATAAGGGACTTTGGTGTGATCATAATTATCTTTCCTTCAGTTGCCTCACCGCAGCAGTATTTTACATTACAGGCTTGTTTTACACTCACAGCCATTGGATGTTGTTCTTGGATTTCTTGGAGATTAGCTGGATTCCCTCCAGGACGTTGGTGATGTCGTAGATGCGTCTCTTCTGGACATCTAGGACCTGAGAGGCCCAGTTCAGATCCACCACGCCGTCAGCTGACTCAGACAACAGGCTCAGAAAGCGCTTGGTGGTCAGATTCAAGGAAGTGTCATACCGCGACTTCTCCGTTGTGGTTCGAGGAACTGGAAAATTGTGGGATTTCCAAATCAGGATTATTTCGATCCAGCATGACAAGCCTTGTCAAAGAGGACTCTATTTGACCTCAGCTAATCTGATAAATGATTGAATTTTCCAATAACCCAGACATCCCTACATTGCATCATTGTTGAACTGTTTAGAGGTCTTTGTTAATGTCAGTTAACTCAGTGTGATACCACCCACTTTTTAGAGCTGCAGCAAAGAGTCAATCAAAAGAAACGAGTCTTAATAATCAAATGATTGTTTCTTTAAGCAAAAATATTCTTCGTTTGATTTTCCACATGTACTCGAGGATTTTAATTGAATAGAATATTTAATTGATACGGAAAATAATCGCTAGCTGCAGCACTACACCCTTTTATTGTCCAGCTTATTGTTGCCTTTTGATGAATGAAGTAGCAAACATTCAAATTTCTGTCAGTGGGGAGGAAAGGATTGATCGAGCACTCACAGAGCTTTTGAGCTGCGTGAGTGTGTGTTACAGTGATGATACCGGGCTAAAGGCAGTTGGGACTAGACAGAAACGTTGAAATTATATCTATTCATTCACGGTGGCTGGGTTGTTTACTTCTTTTTTTTTTTTTTTTTT